GAGAGAGAGAGAGAGAGAGAGAGAGAGAGAGAGAGAGAGAGAGAGAGAGAACGAGAGAGCGAGGTTACAACGACTATAACTACAGTCCGCGCTCGTTTTACAGACTTCACAAGCGCAACCGTTCAAATTATTTCCTCGTTCTAGGGAAATTACTATCGCGCACTTTTTGCTCGGGTTCTTTGCATCTTCCTGCCGACGTTATCCGACGGCGACCGGCACGGCCCTTCCGGTAATTTGCTTTTTCCCTCCCGGTTTGCTTGGCTCTTTTCTACACAGCACTGCCCGCTACTCTTCTTCTTTCTTGAAAATTTAATCGCGGAGCCGCGACGTCGCCTTTAATGCGATTCTTCGCCGCGTTCCTTCTTTTGCCTCGCCCCCGTTTTACCGAAGTTTTATTTCATGCCGCCGACATCCGCCGACGCGAGACTTTCTAAAAGAACCATCGCGCGCCCCCGTTGCGGTTAATAACGGCAACCTTTTTCAGAGGGAGGACACTCGCTCAGATCTCACGGTAGAAAAAACAGCGGTGTTTCGGAATTATAGCGACGGTTAATATCGCCGGCGGCACTGAAAAGCCGGAATAAATCGGTTTTCGATATTAACGAACGCCATTCCCGGGATTGGTTAGCGGAATTAAATACGTCCTCTGGTTTGGAGCGAAATCACGTTCTAAATTTTGCAACCGTAAGCCAGATCCGGGAACCAATTTCGACTCTTACATTCAATTTCGTCTTACTTCAACTCCCCGCTCAAATACGTTAAGGTTTTAAGGACGCCCGCGACGACGAACGGAGAAGCGTATAACATGCCGCCCAACCCAACCCGACCGACCGTGAAATTACGACGAGATATTGCGAGATTTTGAATTGTGATTTTTGCGAGGATAAATCTCATTCCTGCCTTTTGCCAATACATGACGCGAAGCTCTCATTATCCTACGATAAATCGTTTCCTGCAGAACGCGCAGCACGGACAAATGCTCGTCATTAACATCCATTAAAGGATCGAGAGGATATTAATTATCGTTTATTAATTATTCTTTCGCGGGGATAATCTTCGGAGACTCGCATCGAGCGATTTAAAAGGGAAAAAAGAGATGGAGAGAGAGAGAGAGAGAGAGAGAGAGAGAGAGAGAGAGAGAGAGAGAGA